GCCACTCCGAAGGGTAGTGATAGATTTAACTTGCTCATGTTGAAATGCCAGATGAAGTAGGTTCATTCACACTAAGTTGACCTTGTGGAATGGTTTGTGGTTTAGCCGAAAACTTACCTTTCTCATGGTGGCTCAGTGTAGTGGTCAATTTAGTGAGAGTGCTCCTAATATCATTCAAGGCTTGAGATATTTTATTATTGATTGTGATCTGACTGATGACTGTAGTTCACGTATGGCATCCTCAAGGTTCATCTTTTAGGGTGGAGTGCATGGTACAAAATTAGAAGGGCCTTGAGGAGGTGGTTGTGTGCGGCATTATCATTCCTCCAACTAAAATTGGGATGATTCTTCCATCCTAAATTATATGTCCTTGAATAAGGGGAAGGGTAAGGTTATTGAGGTTGTTCACAACATATGTTTGGTCATGTAAAACTTCTTTGAAAGCAAGAATTGTGGGGTACTCCTTTGTAGAATGACCTAGGACCTCAGAAATACTACAAATTTCCTCTTCAAGAATAATTTGTACCTCATTGACCTTTGTAAACTCCATGGCCTCTACTTTTCTAGTCAATGTGGCAATTCTAGCTGTTATGTCATCCTCATCTCTTAGTTGGTATTTGCCTCCACCTGATGAACCACCTAAAATTTTATTTTTCAAAGAAGCCTCAGGGGATGCAGTATCCCATGATTTTGGAATTTCAGCAAGATGAAAAATTAATCAAAAACTTCATTGGGTTCCTTGGCCATGAACCCTCCACTACACATCATCTCAGTAAATTAGTGCATTTGGGCTGATAAATCCTCACAGAAAAAACTAATAATGTGTTAGCTCGCATAATCATAATCTAGGCAAGATACAAGTCTTTAAAACATTCCCAACACTAGTAAAAAGGTTCATTCTCTTTTTGTGAAAAATTCATAATTTGCCTTTTCAAAGAATTTGTGTAGTGTGTAGGACAAAAACTTTTCATAAATTCTGTTTGCATCTCTTGCTACAACTTTAATAATGTATCACCCAAGTGTAGATTGTTGCATAGTAATAAAACTCGAAAGTCCGAGGTCGAACAACAAAAAATTGGTGAAAGTAGGAACCTAATAAATTTAAAAATAAAAGTAAATTTTATTTTGAATATATTTGAGAGACTTGAATTTGGAGAAAATAGTAAATTTTGATTTAGAATAGTAATTAGAGTATTAAAGCATAGGGGATCCTCTTCCAATTTCACACAATATTTATTCCTGATCTGGTTTTCGAACTCAATTAAGAACTAGCTAAGGAGTGACCTTAATCGGAAGATTTAGTGGTGATAATATTGACAACAAATCCAAAAGTATAATTGAAAAATTATTTAGACAAAAATCAGATTTAAATTGTAGATCTCAAGCATTCACCATGCCCAAAGTTGATGATGAATCAAGATTATAACAAAGAAAATTTATTTTTATTCACGAACAACAAATCAATTGTTTTTATGAAAATTTTAATTAATTGATTAAAACATGAAAAATCAGTTATTTGGCTCGCATGGAATCTAAAACATTAGATGTACGTGGCACAACAAATCAAAAGATTTTACATAGCAAAAACTTTACGAAAAGACAAGAATCAATTAATAAGAAAAATCATGCATTGAAGACCAATGACTCAACAATAAATACCATACTTTTTGAAGTAATCACCCATAACTTTAGTTGAGGATTTAACAATTCATAGACATCAAAACAATAACAACAAGGAAAAACAAAACTAGAAGAAGGGATCCAAAATGATCCTTAACATAAGAGAAGTCATAAATATAAACTGGTGGGTTCTAGGGTTGGGTTGGGAGTAATCCCTTTAAAAAAAAAGTGTCTTTTTAGGTTAAATCCCGTACATTAGGACCAAGGAGGCATAAAAAATGTTCTAAAATCGTGTTCGGATGCACTATTCACAAGTCTAGATGCGGGTAAGTTTTTGCCCAAACTTCCAACTCGATTTTCATAAAGTTAGATTCCGATTCACAAGTTTTTTTATGGAATACATTTTTGAAGCTCTTCAAGTCTACTTTCTAATGCAATAAGAATCAGGTCAATCTGACATCGAGATAAAAAGTTATGACAAAAATGCCAAAGTAGTATCAAAATATTTCTTTCCCAAATTCTCCCCAACATGCGTTTGTGTTTCAGTTGCCTCCCAACATCTTTGCTTCATCAAATCATACCCTATTACAACCAGATCCTTCCTCCATTGTTTACTCAACTTGGATCAATTCATTATCATTATATATTTTTTATTTTTTGATTTTTGATTTTTGATTTTTGATTTTTGATTTTTGATTTTTGATTTTTGATTTTTGATTTTTTTTATTTCTGTGAGGAGGAGAGAAACTTGAACCCTTAACCTTAGAAAGGTAAACCCTTCACAAGGTAAGGAGTATCGTTATCATTATAAATCATTCGAATTACCTACAAAATGAGACAAACAAGTATCAAGCTAGAAAATTCAAGTATTTAACACATTTTATCTCAAACAATATGTAATTAACACATCCTTAAATATAATAAATAACACTTTTGATGGTTACTCACATGTGATATGGGATATATTAGAAATTTAGAGGTATTTTGGGCCATAAATGCATTTTGGAGAGATTTAAGATAGAAAAGGATTTGACACTACTTTAATACTTTGGTCATGATTTTTTATCCCACTGTATAATTGAGCTAATTTTCATGGTATTAGAAAGTAAACTTCAAGAGTTACAAAATTGTATTTCATGAAAAATTCATGAATCGACCTCTAACTAAATCAAAATTAAGATGGATGTTTGGGCAAAAACTTGGGTGCATTCGAACGCAAGTCTGATCTAACAATTTTTAGTAAGGTGAAAGGGAGATACTAAGCAGAAATTCCGTTTGAAGCCCAATTATTTCTGCACCGTTTGAACAATTTTTGACCCTATAAATACCCTAGAGATTCGTTAAGCCTGGGAGAGTTTGGAGTGGATAAAAGAAGGAAAACGGGATGGGTCTTGAAGGGACTAACATGTGGTAATCGCACAAAACACGTTAGGACCTATTATCTACGAATTAAGGTAAGGTTTCTTTCTCATTCCTATTCATTGAGAATATGGTTACTATTTATATAAATTTTTATTATATTTCGTAAATATGTGATAGATAAACAATGATTTACTCTCAATCATATGATTTTTTTTTTTTTTGAAAGAATACTTGATTCACATCCATATTATAGGTTCTTGATTTAAAAATCCTAGGTCTTGAATATGATCTAATTGATATTATTTCTTGACTATCTCTTGCATGTTTTTCTAGAAGTTCCTTCCATTTTGAGAATTATGGAATTATAATTTGTGGTACATGTGAATTTTATTGAAAAATATGAATATTATCTCTTGTATGGTTAGGTGTAATGAACTTGGGTTGCATACGGATTTATATCATAGAGTATTTAGATGTATTTCTTAATTTGAAAGATTTAGAAGTTTCTTATAACTCGTAGTGAAGTTGATTCCTTGCCAAGTTCCAAACCACTACTCGTTTATGGAGTTTGAAGCTAAGGGTTAGTATACTATTCCTATGAAGATGTTGTCAATATTGATGTGTCAATATACGTGCTTCTTAAAACTTTGTATAATTACTTCACGTCTATTTGTGAAAATTGGGACATAACATATCATTAACCACCAANTGTCAATATACGTGCTTCTTAAAACTTTGTGACCCTATGGAGTGTGATTAAGAATGTGGAGTTTTATGGACCAAATATATTTGATTTGTGGATTCATATTAGTTAACCTACATTCATGAGATATAATTGTTATAATATTTTGTTTTGAGAATTGATTCTACTCCATATGGATTTTTTGTTTGTACATCGAAACTTGAGACCATTATTAATTGTCACTTACTTTGCTTCATTTTATTTTTGTAAATTGAGAACGACCTATTTTATACATTAGGCAAACCTTGTTTAGATTTGAGAAAGTTTCCTAATGGGTTAGTTTTACATCCCCTTTCCTTAACATTGTTTATTGTTGCTTTCTAGCTTATTAGTCCTAATGGTTTAGTTTTACATACCTTTTCCTTAACAATGTTTATGGTTGCTTTCTAGTTTATTAGAGATAATAGTTTTGTTTAATTTTTTGTTGTTAATTAAAGTTTTGGATGATACCTTTAAAGGTTAAATGATGTTTGTTTTGGAATTTTGTTTAGTTAAATGATGTTGATGGTTTTACTTTATTTAATGATATCTTAGCTATGCTTTAATGGTTTTGATGATTCATAATTACTTCACGTCTATTTGTGAAAATTGGGACATAACATATCATTAACCACCAATCTTCGCAGGTCATCCATTAGCTGATAGGCAGGCTGAAGGGACCAATAGGACCCTCCCAACGCTTGCAGCTCTCTAGGCCACAAACCACCGATCACGAGATCAGACACCTCATTTGCTACAACAACGACAATCATCTCTAAACGAAATGTTGCTGCTGCTCCTAATGCACCCGCTACTTATTCAAGATTTTTAGACCTACACTCCCACTGTATCTCTCAGCTGTGGCCACACTCTCGCAAATGCACCCATAACTCATTTGTTGGTAAGTACTCTATATTAAATTACAATTCCAAGACCTTCCACGGTCCGCAATTAGATGTCCCCGAAGTCATAGCATAACAATATTTACTGTACGCAACTGGGAATTTAGTTTTGGCAAACATGTTTTGTTTGAATACTTTGGTTTCATCCAAGGAAAATTGGACACAGTATTTACTGATGCATTCTCACATAAACGTACACTTACATAACAATTATGAGCGGACACCTCATAAGCCTCACAAGCCCGATTCTGTGATGCATTTAAGAGTCCCAAGAACAAATGGGAGTCAAATCCCTCCAATACATTCTTCTCCCTGATAAATCACCATATTGTGAATTGAAGTGGGGCTCAAGCACGGCCCACCACCACAACGTTGACAATCAATCCAATTTCTTTTCACGGTGCTGGAGTTTCAGGAATGGTGGCAGCAGGTTGCCTGGTCACAGCAACTAGTATGTCAGCATAACCTACAACCCCAACCAAAACATCCTCATTTTCAGCTTCAGTCACCCAAACATGGGTTGCCCGATGAGATAACATCTGAGCCATGACTGCAGCTAATGAACTCGTAACTTTACATGTTAAGGGTGCACTTCTACCCCGATACATGCTCCTACCCACACCGAAACTCGGGCTTGCCGGATTGCTAAAGAACCCAATATTCCGACTGCTGAACTTTCTCGGCCTCATTGATCCACCGCCATTAACTAAATTATTATCTCCAACAATAGGGTTAACAGCAAAATCAGGTACTGACCTTGAAGTCATGTCTTCAACCCCCATAACAAACTGTCCTGCAGAGAAATTGGCTAAAGCCCATGCTGCAGCCAAGTAATCACATTTCCATAATTTTGTAGCCGAGATCTCGCCAATGATCTTATATTGACCATCTGAAGTGGGTTCCACAACTGCCACCGCACTGGGGTCCTGGGGAAGCTTTCGGGTGGCTTCAATGGCTGGGTGAGATGCTTCAATGGAGCTGTAGTTCCAGTTGATGATACCGAGGGAGGAGATGGAGGAGAGAGGGAGAGGAGCTAAGGCACCAAGGCAACCAATGAGAAAACGAATGACATCCTCTCTTGATAGACAACAGAACTTGTCACGGATGATGGTGGTGGAAGATGAGGAAGGACGATTGCTGCTGGCAAATGAGTTATTACTATTGCCGCTAGACGTGTCGATGTTCTTGAGCCACTTTCCATTATATAGAATTGAGAATCGTTTGCTCATTCCTCTCCACACTAAGCTTTTAGGAACAAGGAGTCGCTTCACACCCTGCTTCATCATCTCCAGTGCATCTACCAATCTTGCACAAAAATGATCGGAATTACATCAGTTAGAAAGTTTGATCCAAAAAAAAACATAAATTAGAAAAAATAATACGATGAAATGGTATGCAACATCAATAAGCTTTTCTTCTTACGCTCTACATTTTCTTTCTATCCTTATTTCTGGGTAAAAGTACGAAAGAATGATGATAGTGATACCATGGGACATCCAACCTGTTATACTCAGATGCTCCACGAGTAATATTGATGGGTTCTCATCTTTTCCCAACATATTGCCGGAAGATTAGCCTTTTTATGTCCAATACAGAACTAAAAACTAAGGGGAAAAACTATTAAATTTCAGGACTCAGGATTTCAAATTCAATTATAAGTGGAGGATGATACTTAAAATCCTTCCTGTGAAGAATTCTAATGGCAGCAGGAATCTAAGTAGATGTTTCTCTCATGCCTAATGATTCTCTCTCCTCTCCCTCAACTAGCCCTATTGACACACAAATAGTCGATCATTGTAACATATTAAGAAATCTGACCTTCACAGTCACTCCTCTCAAATGCAACCTAAAAAAAAAAACCAGGTCTTGTCTAAATAAACTCCTGCTGATCATAATGAATTTCTACAGGTACTTGACGGCTTTTCCGTTGCCAGCAAAAAAAAATAAGTGATGTTTTGTATGTAATCATTGTGTTCCTAAACTAATTAAACACTTGAAGAGACCTGGGCTGCATGGACCATGGGGGAGTCAGAAAGGGAAGCTTGCCATCTGAAAAAATCATACTTTTCAAGGTGCTCACATTTGTTTATGCACTCCGTTAATATAGGAGAAATAGGAGGAGGTGGGCAATCTAGGAAATATAATTTTTAGATCAAAAAATGGAACAGGAGGGTACTATATATCTAGCTACCATAATTATTTACAGTATGACCAAACCATCAATTTCTTTCTTAGGATGTAACAACAAATTTACTCATCTCGAGAACTGAATCAGAAGAACACCTCTGAAACAGTATCATGAACAAGTGTTGAAGCGACACACCTATGATGATCAATGGAAGCATGCATAAAAAATGCTGTGGATGATAACTGTGTGGACTGACTACTCAAGCAACTTTGACAACTGCTGATGGTTCTCAAATAGATGCGGTTTAAATTCTGTAATTACTGAGCTTTCTAGCATCCACCATTGACCATGTCACCATACAACTAGCCTAGCTCCAACTTATTACCAACATTATGGGACACTCAGCCCAAGCACTCCTGCTAAGCCTCATTAGTTGCTATTAAGAATAGTAGGGTAATATGTGTAAATTGTTAATAATAAGAGGGTGTATGTGTAATTCTCATTATTGTAGGTTAACTATAAATACAAGTGATCTATAAGAGCTAGGTTAAATTTTAACCTCTCTCTGTTTCTCTCTAATATTATGTTAATTCTCCACACTTAACATGGTATCACAGCGATTACGATCATAACTATATTCTAAATAAATTAATTCTGTTTGTGGGTACTGTGGTGGTGCTGGTGTTTGTCGAAGCATAGTGGTGGTGGTTTGTTTGTGGTACTGGTGTGGTGTCGTTGCTTGTCGAAGCATCGTGGAGGTGGAGGTGGTGGTGGTGGTATTGTTGTGGTTCTGGTGTTTGTCGAAGTGTAGTGGTGGTGGTGGTGGTCGCCATCATCTATTCTTCGCTGCAGTCTATTATTCGTCGTGGTGGTTGCCAGAGTTGTGGTGGACTGCCGTTTATAGTGGTGGTGAGGCACAGTCAAGACCAAGGTTCACTAAAACCCTAATTAATGAACAAAGAAGGCAAGGTCCAAACCCTTGTTTAGACCCGACTTTGATCCAACCCAATTATTTTAAATCGGGTCCAGCCTATTGAACTAGACCGGTTCAGTGGTCCAATAAGTCCCTGTGGTCTGGTTCAGTCCGGTTCAATCAGTTTTTAATCCGGTTCAACGGTCCAACAAGCCTATTCGGTCTGATTCGGCGGTCCAGAGCCCCTCCGGTTCAACAGTCCAAAGCTCCTAACAAGTCCGGTTCAACAGTCTAGAGCCCCTAACAGGTCCGGTTTAGCGGTCTAGAGCTTCTAACAGGTCCGGTTCAATGGTTCAGAGTCTCTAACAGATTCGGTTCAACGGTCTAGAGCCCCTAACAGGTCCAGTTCATCAGTCTAGGAGCTCTAGTAGGTCTGGTTCAACACTGCAGCTTGTCTGGTTCTACATTTCAGCCTGTCCGATTCCTCTGATTCAGCATTGTAGCACTTCTTGTTTGCTATTTGCTGCACTGCTATGGAACCCAAGCAAGATAGCAGGTCCCTTACTCCATCTTTGTCTCCTCCTACTCTTATCAATGGTCCCTAACCTCTGTTAAACTCAATGGGATCAATAATATTTTATGGTCCCGATCTGTTCAAGTTTTTCTTTGAGGCAAAGGATTTAAGAAATATTTAGTGCATCCTAAATCTAAGGAAAATAGTCCTGGGTATGATCAGTGGGAACAAAAAGATGCTCAAATTATTTCTTTACTACTGAATAACATTGAGCCCAGTATTAGTTCCACTCTACTTTATCTTGATACTATCAAAGAGATATGGGATCACTTGGCCCCTATGTATTCTAGTACAGGTAATTTTACCCGAGCTTATGAGGTGTGTAAGGAGTACTTCCAACTGGAACAGAGTACTCTGAGTATTGAGGATTATTATTCTCACGTTCGGGGAGTTTGTGAGGAGATGAAGACCTACCATCCGTTTACTACTGATGCAGCAGTTTGACAGAAGCAACATGAGGACATGAATGTTGTTAGGTTTTTGGTAGGACTGAAACCCAAATATGAGGCTATTCATTCTCAAATTTTGGGTGGTTCTAGTCTTCCCTTACTACTCGAGGTTTCCTCTCGCGTACAGTATGCTACTTTGTCTACTTCAGGCATCGAGCATGGTGTCTCTACTGATTGTTCAGCTCTTGTGGTCCCTAATAGCCATAATGATGGTCCTCGAGGTGGTTGTGGTGGTCAAGGAGGTCGTACAAGAGGTCGTATGGGTGGTCGTGGGAGCCTTAGTGGACCCTGTTCCTATATTCACTATGGCCGTGGAGGGCATACTATTGATTTTTGTTGGGATTTACATAGGAAACTTTCTGGTGCTGCGAATCAGGCTTCCTATCAGGATGATACCTCTTCTGTTGCTTCCATACCTCGATCAACTCCCCCAGACACTGGGTTGGTTACTATTACACGAGAGGAGTATGCTCAGTTCCTGTCCCAGCAACAGGCTATTCCATCTCCTTCTACTGCTACTTTTGCCCAGTCAGGTACTGCTTCCACTTATTTATTGTCCTCCACTCACAGTCCTTGGATCATAGACTCTGGCGCCTCGACCACATGACTGATGCGTCTGATGTTTTTACTACTTATCAGTCTGCTACTTTCACACGTAGTGTTACTCTTGCTAATGGTACTTGTTCTAAAGTTTCAGGTCTGGATACTACTCACTTGAGTCCTAATATGTCCCTATCTTTCGTGTTATTTGTTCTTCAGTTTCCTTTTAATTTACTTTTCATTAACAAGATTACTCATTCTCTTAATTGTTCTGTAACATTTTATCCTTCTTATTATGTCTTTCAGGATCTCAAGACGAAGAGGAAAATTGGTACGGGGCATAAAGCTGGTGGCCTATATTACCTGGACTTTGATTCACCTACCCAAACTCTACAAACCTCGTTGTCTCCTTTTCAGTGACATTGTCGTCTTGGACNCTTCCAACTGGAACAGAGTACTCTGAGTATTGAGGATTATTATTCTCACGTTCGGGGAGTTTGTGAGGAGATGAAGACCTACCATCCGTTTACTACTGATGCAGCAGTTTGACAGAAGCAACATGAGGACATGAATGTTGTTAGGTTTTTGGTAGGACTGAAACCCAAATATGAGGCTATTCATTCTCAAATTTTGGGTGGTTCTAGTCTTCCCTTACTACTCGAGGTTTCCTCTCGCGTACAGTATGCTACTTTGTCTACTTTAGGCATCGAGCATGGTGTCTACTGATTGTTCAGCTCTTGTGGTCCCTAATAGCCATAATGATGGTCCTCGAGGTGGTTGTGGTGGTCAAGGAGGTCATACAAGAGGTCGTATGGGTGGTCGTGGGAGCCTTAGTGGACCCTGTTCCTATATTCACTATGGCCGTGGAGGGCATACTATTGATTTTTGTTGGGATTTACATAGGAAACTTTCTGGTGCTGCGAATCAGGCTTCCTATCAGGATGATACCTCTTCTGTTGCTTCCATACCTCGATCAACTCCCCCAGACACTGGGTTGGTTACTATTACACGAGAGGAGTATGCTCAGTTCCTGTCCCAGCAACAGGCTATTCCATCTCCTTCTACTGCTACTTTTGCCCAGTCAGGTACTGCTTCCACTTATTTATTGTCCTCCACTCACAGTCCTTGGATCATAGACTCTGGCGCCTCGACCACATGACTGATGCGTCTGATGTTTTTACTACTTATCAGTCTGCTACTTTCACACGTAGTGTTACTCTTGCTAATGGTACTTGTTCTAAAGTTTCAGGTCTGGATACTACTCACTTGAGTCCTAATATGTCCCTATCTTTCGTGTTATTTGTTCTTCAGTTTCCTTTTAATTTACTTTTCATTAACAAGATTACTCATTCTCTTAATTGTTCTGTAACATTTTATCCTTCTTATTATGTCTTTCAGGATCTCAAGACGAAGAGGAAAATTGGTACGGGGCATAAAGCTGGTGGCCTATATTACCTGGACTTTGATTCACCTACCCAAACTCTACAAACCTCGTTGTCTCCTTTTCAGTGACATTGTCGTCTTGGACATCTTTCTCCCCAGAATCTGAAGCATCAAGTTCTCAGTCTTAGTTATGTGTCGTCTTTGTCTTGTGAAGCTTGTCAACTTAGTAAGCATCACCGTGTGTCATTTCAGTCTAGAGTCAATAATCGTGTGTAGTCCATTTGAATTAGTTCATTCTGATATATGAGATTCAATAAAGAATATTTCATCTAATAAATATCCTTATTTTGTGATATTTGTGGATGACTATTCTCGTGTGACTTGGTTATTTTTGATAAAAGCTGGGTCTGAATGATTCTCTATATTTGAGACTTTTCGTAAGAAAATAAAAAATTAGTTTGGTTGTCGTATACGTACTTTACGTTCCGATAATACTCGGGAATATGAATCTGATCTTTTTTCAGCTTATTTTAGTAAAACTAGCATTATTCATCAGACTTCTTATGCTTACACTTCTCCACAAAATGGTATTGCTGAACGCAAGAACCGTCATTTGTTGGAAGTCACCCGTACAAGTCACCTGTTATTCCAGATGAATGTTCCCCGATACTTTTGGAATGATGTTCTTACTGCTTGTCATCTTATTAATCGTATGTCATCCTCTGTGTTAAATGGGCAAAGTCCATATTTTTCCTGGTAAGTCCTTATTTTTCCTGACTCCTAAAGTTTTTGGATGTGTCTGTTATGTTCACAATTTGGNTTTCCTGGTAAGTCCTTATTTTTCCTGACTTCTAAAGTTTTTGGATGTGTCTGTTATGTTCACAATTTGGGTCCTGAGTTTGACAAACTTGACCCTCGAGCTACCAAATGTGTATTTCTTGGTTACTCCCGCACGCAGAAGGGGTATCGTTGTTACAGTCCTTCTCTGCATCGATACTTTACTAGTGTCGATGTCATGTTTGAAGAATTCATTCCATACTTTTTAGCACCTTCTCAGCCTTTGGATCTGAACTTTGGATCATCTCCTGTACCACTATTCTCATCTTCAGATATTCCATTGCCCACTATATTACCATCTACTTTACCTCTCTATGTCTACTCTTGCCGTTCTCATCCATCGACTAAGGTGCCCGTACCATCTTCCTTACCGCCTTCTAATCCTAGTATATCATGTAATTTAGACTCTTTACCTATTACTCTTCGCAAAGGTACTCGTTCATGTGTTACTCATCATCCCATTTCTCCTTTTGTTTTATATGATACCTTGTCTCTTGTCTTCTCCTGTTTTACTTCTCAATTATTTGCTATATCTATTCCTAAGCATTTACAGGATGCATTATCTGATCTAGGTTGGAGGAAAGCTATGGAGGAGGAGATGAATACTTTATATCATAATGGGACTTGGGATCTCATCCCTTTACCTCTGGTAAACTAACTGTTAGCTATCGTTGGGTGTATACTGTTAAATTTCGTCCGGATGATAATGTGGAACGTCTCAAAGCCCGACTTGTTGCAAAGGGCTTTACTCAGACTTATAGTGTTGATTATGAGGAGACTTTTTCTCCTGTTGTCAAAATTTCCTCTGATCGTATCTTGATTTCTTTGGCTGCTATTCTTGATTGACTCTTGTTTCAGTTAGGCATCAACAATGCCTTCCTACATGGTGACTTGGTTGAAGAGGCATACATGGAACAGCCACCTGGGTTTACTGCTCAGGGATAGTATAGTAAGAGTGTATGTCGGTTAAAGAAATCTTTGTATGGTTTGCAGCAATTACCGAGGGCATGGTTTGATAAAGTTTTCAAATGCAGTTTTAGAGTTTAGTCTTCTTCGATGCCAGACAGATCATTCTGTGTTTCATAGACAGACAGATGCTGGATATGTCCTATTGGTGGTCTATGTAGATGATATTGTGATTACTAGAAATGATTCTAAGGGGATTGCCAAGTTAAAAATATTCTTGCAAGATCGATTTCATACCAAAGATTTAGAAAAACTCAGGTATTTCTTGGGTATTGAGGTGGCTCGATCTAAACAGGGTATTTATTTATTCCAGAGAAAATACGTACTTGACATGCTTAAGGAAGCAGGTTTGCTGGGTAATAGACTGATTGATGTTCCTATGGATCCGAATCAAAAATTATTGATGGATGATGGTGCATTGTTTGAGAATCCGGGTCGGTATCGTAGATTGGTTGGGAAGCTTAATTATCTCACTATTACTCGACCGGATATTTCCTATGTAGTTAGTATAGTAAGTCAGTTCATGGGGTGTCCTAGAGTATCACATTGGGAGGCAGTTACTCGTATTCTGCGATATCTCAAATGAGCTCCTGGACTTGGACTATTATATCGAGCTAATGGACATCTTAGAGTAGAAGGTTTCTCAGATGCTGATTGGGTTGGCTCTCCTTCTTATCAGAGATCAACCACTAGTTATTGCACTTTCTTAGGACGTAATGTTGTCTCATGAAAAAGTAAGAAACAACCCGTGGTAGCAAAACCCAATGTCGAGGCTGAGTATAAGGCAATGGCACATACGACGAGTAAGTTGACTTGGCTACTACACTTTCTCCAGAAAATTGGGTTTCTAGTTCAACTTCTTTTACAGTTGTTCTGTGACAACCAGACAGCTATCCATATCGCTGTCAATCCTGTGTTTCACGAGAGAATCAAGCATATTGAGGTAGATTGTCACTTTATTCAGGATAAGATAGTAGCTGAAAAGATTACAACTCTATTTGTGAAATTTGAAGATCAGCTTGCAGATATGTTTACCAAAACATTGAGTCGTACACGTCTTATAGCTATTTGTTCCAAGCTTGAATTATATGATATATATAGTCCACCTTGAGGGGGAGTGTTAAGAATAGTAGGGTAGTATGTAAATTGTTAATAGTAAGAGGGTGTATGTGTAATTCTCATTATTGTAGGTTAACTATAAATACAAGTGATGTATGAGAGCTAGGTTAAGTTTTAATCTCTCTCTGTTTCTCTCTAATATTGTGTTAATTCTCCACAGTTAACAGTTGTTAACATCTCATTCTTCTACATCATCTCCAAAGCAAAAGAACCGACCATTACATAGTCTAAGGGCCCCAAAAATTGTGGAAGGAAAGTGGGAAGAGGCATTTGATCTGACTGTAATTACTTTTCTCTCNATGTTTCTCTCTAATATTGTGTTAATTCTACACAGTTAACAGTTGTTAACATCTCATTCTTCTACATCATCTCCAAAGCAAAAGAACCGACCATTACATAGTCTAAGGGCCCCAAAAATTGTGGAAGGAAAGTGGGAAGAGGCATTTGATCTGACTGTAATTACTTTTCTCTCAGAAATTATGCAAATATTTGCTAATATTATTTCAACATCCCTCACCAACTGGAAATGTTCAAGAATTGCAATATAAGGAAGTATGAAAATGACCGGGACTCATTTGCTACTTAGTATTTCTCATTCGATAAATTATGGGAGACAAATTGAGTTTGTTACATTTTGTTGTTAATGATATTTTAACTTTAAGAAGGCCATTATCTGGTGTTAGTCCCACTCAAACGAGGTAACATTTTGGGAATATATCTTTTAAAAAAAAAATGTTTAGATGTGGAGTTTGAAATCATAAAAAAACGTAACTGGTTTGAAAGTTTTGACCTCCGTAGAGAAATTTCAATTAAATTGGACAACAGAATCATTTTTGTAAGTTTGGCAAAATAAGATTTGAGTAGTTTTAATCACGCATAGGATGTAGTACATAGTTTACTCCCAAACTTGTCAAGCGCCTACTTCATCCACTCTGAGCTTTCAGCTTTGGTGGTGTACTTAAACCACAAAATATTCTAGCCAGGCCATCCATGGGAAATTAATGAAACAGTACACGCATTTGGGATATATTTGGGAAGT